ATCACACACAAGTAAAATTTTGCTGAAGATAATTCAAATAACAATTGTAGCAGTACACGGACTAGCACAGGCGGATTCAGAAAAGGAAATGGAAAGAGGGTTAATCACTGCTGATGTAGTATGGGTGTTGGCTGAAAGCAGAGAATACCAGGAAGATGTTTACCTGTGTTTTATTGACTATGCAAAGGCATTTGACTGTGTGGATCATAACAAATTATGGATAACACTGCAAAGAATAGGAATTCCAGAACACTTAATTGTGCTCATGAGGTACCTGTACACAGACCAACAGGCAGTGGCTTGAACAGAATAATGGGATACCATGTGGTTTAAGATCAGGGAAGGTGTGTGTCAGGGTTGTATCCTTTTACCACACTTACTCAATCTGTTTGCTGAGCAAATACTCCAAGAAGCTGGACTATATGAAGAACGGGGCATCAGGATTGGAGGAAGACTCATTAACAACCCATGATATGCAGATGATGCAACCTTGCTTGCTGAAAGTGAGGAGGACTTGAAGCACTTACTGATGAAGATCAAAGACTACAACCTTCAGCATGGATTACATCACAACATAAAGAAAACAAAAATCCTCACAACTGGACCAATAAGCAACATCATGATAAATGGCGAAACTACTGTAGTTTTCAAGGATTTCACTTTACTTGGGTCCACAACTGATGCCCATGGAAGCAGTAGTCAAGAAATCAAATGATGTTTCACACTGGGCAAATCTGCAAAAGACCTTTCTAAAGTGTTAAAAAGCGAAGCTGTCACTTTGAGGACTAAGGTGCACCTGACCCAAATCATGGTATTTTAAATTGCCTCATATGCATGTGAAAACTGGACAATGATAAGGAAGACTGAAGAAGAATTGATGTCTTTGAATTATGGTGTTGGCTAAGAGTACTGAATATACCACGGACTGCCAGAAGAATGAACAAACGTGTCCTGGAAGAAGTACAGCCAGAATGCTCCATAGAAGGGAGGATGGCGAGACTTCGTCTCACGTACTTCGGACATGTTATCAGGAGGGATCCAGTCCCTGGAGAAGGACATCATGCTTGGTAAAGTAGAGGATCAGTGAAAAAGAGCAAAACCCTCAATGAGATGGATTAACACAGTAGCTTCAACAATGAACTCAAACACAGCCAAGACTGTGAGGATGACACAGGTCCGGGTAGCATTTCGTTCTGTTGTACTCAGGACTCTGAGAAAGAACAGACTCATCGGCACCTAACGACAAAGTGGGTATATTTTCTGCAGAGATGAGGAAACTAAAGCTTAGACGTTGAGCAATTTGCTCTAAGTTACAAAGATAGCCCTGCACCTGGTTCACCTAATTCCTAACATTTTTTTCCCATTACAGTTTACTGAACTTAGAAAAAGTTAGAAAAGCCTGCTGGATCCACAGGTTAGGTAATAATAAACAGCAGCACTACAATTTTTCTTGTGGTTTAAATTTTACACATTCTCAATTTAACAAATAGAAAGTCCTTTCTCAAGCCTTCTGCCAAAGCATGTGTCATAGAAAAATTCAACATCATTATTTCAGCCACTGAGTTAGCCATCAGTTGTGGCCGTCTGGTCTATAGGATCCTGTAAGAAACTGTCTGTCTTATAAGGCTCTCACACTGTCATGGATTGAATTGTGTCCCCCAAAAATATCTGTCCACCTGGCTGGGTCATGATTCCCAGTATTGTATGATTGTGTAATCTGATGTGATTTCCTTATGTGTTGTAAATTCTATCACTATGATGAGATTGTATGTGATCTCCTTATGTGTTGTAAATTCTATCACTGTGATGAGGTTATACTGATGAGGTTTACAAGATTAGATAGTGTCTTAATCCAATCTCTTTTGAGATATAAAAGAGAGAAGCAAGCAGAGACACATGGGAACCTCATGCCACCAAGAAAGCAGTGCCGGGAGCAGAGGGCATCCTTTGGACCTGAGGTTCCTGCATAGAGAAGCTCCCAGACCAAGGGAAGATTGATGACATGGACCTTCTTCCAGAGCTGACAGAGAAAGCCTTCCCCTGGAGCTAATGCCCTAAATTTGGACTTGTAGCCTACTGGACTGTGAGAAAATAAACTTCCCTTTGTTAAAGCCATCCACTTGTGGTATTTCTGTTAGAGCAGCACTAGATGACCAAGACAGACACCAACAACCACCAAAGATGGGAACTAGAGACTAGTATGTGATGTCACATTTATAATCCCTCTCTTTTCTGTCACCATCACTTACCTTGATGGATACTTTAGTGAGTAAGCAGCAGCCAAGAATCCACCCAGGTTGTGTCCAAGCAAGATCATTTTCTCCAATCCTAGGGCACATCTCCACTCTTCAATGGACTCTACAAACTGATTCTCCACTTCTTCCGCATCACTATCAAACCTGGGTCTACTACTTCGTCCAAACCCCAATAGGTCAAATGCATAGACGGGCCTATTGGTGCAAAGATCTTCAAAATTTAGTGCCCAGAGTCCAAGCCCTCCTCCAAAACCATGGAGGAGGACAAGTGGTGTCTTATTTGGAAGACTGTAAGATAACTTCAATGTCCATATTTTATTTCCATTAGATATACAAACAGATTCTTTTTTGTATGTGCAGGGAACACCTAATGGAAACATAAAGGAGAAATTCTGTTGAGCTTCACTACTCAGAAGGGGAGTATTCTCAAAGAAATAAATTAATCATCTAGAAACCATCTGATATCCATGCATATGATTTTAGCCTGTACTAATTTGTATCAGCCCTTTAAAAAAAGCACATTTTTATTCATTCAAGTAATTCTTAATTACCATGTGTTTTATCTAAGTGGGAATTACCTCCTATGGCCAAGGTCTTTTGACAAGTCATGGTACCTCCTTGGACTTCTTTCCACATCTATCAAACGAAGGTATTATGCTCCAAGAACTAGAGAGGTCACTACAGCCATTATTGTAAGGTCCCTGGCTTTGCAAACAATAACAAAATCCTGATGTCTTGAATGTGTAAAACTTTGACAGATTAAACACTGAAGGTCAAAATCAGACTTGAAGGAAACATTTTTCCCTAAAAAGTAATCATGAATTCAGGGGAGGATTAACGGTATAGGGATTAAATGTGTAACTGAAATCTTAAGTCATTTCAAAGCTTAGTAGAAAAATGTTGGCAGAATATGGTAGAAACTCCTCAGCATGAGGTGCCAGGTGACCTAAGTTCCAAGTCCCACAATTTCTCTAGAAATTGCAAATAATTACAATTTTGTAGATAAAAACTCTTACCTGCCTTCAATTTTGTGGGACTAAATATTTTAAACTCCTCAAAAAAAAAAATGACTGAAGATGAAACTAATCTGAAATTAGTTTACATTAAACTATCACAACTGAATAGCTACACTTTAGATGTACCCATAAATTATTTGCGCATAGTCATCTGCAATGGACAAAACACAGGAGAACCAGTTTCTGCCCTTTAACTAAAAAGGTAATCTCAGGTTTTGTATCCAGATAATGGCAGCAAAGAGGAAACCTAGCATTCATTCAGAATGTTAATGAAGCTCATGCCCCTAAGTGGGGGAAATGCCACCAGTTTAGAAAACGAGGTGAATCGGCATTAGCACCAAGCCAAACCACTTCAGTATTCTGAACACAGAACTGCATATTCCCATAAAAACCAACTGTAATACGTACTACAGAGTTCATCCCACTGTATTAACTGGCTTTTATGTCTGATATTGAAGTAGGAGCCAACTCACTCCTTTTTGCATCCACAGAACCTAGCAGGTACGTAATGCTCAGTAGTCAATCAACTTGTTTAGTAAGTGGATGAACTGGTTATCTACCACCCATTTTTATCTCCTCACAAGATTTTTTTTTTTAATCTGGGTAAACCACAATGACAACTTTCTGAACTTTGTAAAGAACAGGACTACCCAAGTACATGGAGTAGAAATTCATTTTTATGTTAAAAATTCATGTAAAATGGCTAATTTTTCCTTCCAAGGGATACATCCAGTTATGGTCACTTATTCCTGAATCATTCAAATATACAAACAAAAAATTCATTTGTGGTAAAGAGAATGAAATCTCAAATGGATCCAATTCTCAACTCAATTACCTCAGGTAAAGCTAGAGAAAACAGAAGTGGACACACATCAACAATGTATACACACCTTGCTATCATGTATGTAAACCGCACTACTTAATCCACTCCTCTAAATTGTTTCAGCAGGACAAAATTGCACAATAAACACCACTGCTTAGAAGTATACCCACAGATACCTGGAAGTGCACTGATGGTGCAAGTTTAGGTAAATTTCAGCGTTTATAAGAAATGAAAAAGGGTTTCCACATCACTTTAAACGTCGACTTTAGGAATCCTAGAATGTCAGCACCAGGAGGAATTCTAAGTAAGGACCACCCTATTGTTGTGGTGGTTGCATGCTGTTAAGTAGATTCTGACTCATGGCAACCCCACATGACAGAGCAGAACCATCCCATAGGGTTTTCTAGGCTGTAATCTTATGGAAGCAGATCACCAGGTCATTCTTCCTTGGAGCCGCTGGTGGGTTCGAACCACTCTCCTTTTGGTTAACAGCCGACTGCATGACCACTGCACCACTAGGGCTCCTCCTACTCCCTCATTTTACAGGTTGAGAAAACTGAAGCTGAAAAAAGCGACTTGCCTAAGATCCTATAGCTACCCGGTTCCAGACCTGGGCCTAGACCCAGGTTAACTCGTTCCAGTTCCATGTTTGTTCCATCATACAAGGCACAGCCTCTTTCAGCACCAGATACCATGGCAAGGAACCACCTGCTCAGGAACACTGAGGCTCATCTATTCTCAAAGTGTAGTCTCAGGACTTCTCAGGGGTCCCTGAGACCCTCTAGGAGGTCCGCAAGGTTGAAACTGTTTTCATAAGAATACTAAGACTTTATTTGCCTTTTTCACTCTCATTCTCTCATGGGTGTACAGTGGAGTTTTCCAGAGACCACATATGTGATTACCCAACAGACTGAATACAGAAGCAGATAAGAGAATCTAGCTGTCATGTATTAAGCCGGACATTAGAGAGATCTGCAAACGTGAAACAATGCCACTCTTCTCACTACATTTTTATTTGGAAAATACTTATTTTTTACAAATATGTTATTTACTTTGACCTGTAATGGATTTATTACTACTATTTTAAAATAATAAATCAGCATATTTTTCAATTACTCGGTTCTAATTTCTAATATGGTAAATATTGATAGCTACAACCCATAAACAAAGTTCTTTAGGGTCTGTCTTAGTCATCTAGTGCTGCTATAACAGAAATACCACAAGTGGATGGTTTTAACGAAGAGAAGTTTATTTCCTCACAGTCAAAGTAGGCCAGAAGTCCAAATTCAGGGTGTCATCTCCAGGGGAAGTCTTTCTTTCTCTGTCGGCCTTCTCATCAGTGTTCCCCCGGACTAGGAGCTTCTCGGCGCAGGGAGGCCTGTCCAAAGGATGCGCTCTGCTCCTGGCGCTGCTTCTCTTTTATATCTCAAGAGACTGCCTCAGGACACAATCCAGTCTTGTAGATCCACAACTGCCACCCATCCTCCCTCATTAACATCATAGAAGCAGGTTTACAACACACAGGAAAATCACATAGTACCAGGAATCATGGCCTAGCCAAATTGATACACACATTTTTTTGGGGGACATAACTCAAACCATGACAGGGTCCTTATAATTTAAGAGTATAAAGGGTCCCAAGACCAAAGTGTTTGAGAACCACTGCCCCACACGTTTCTGCACTTGCTGACGACGTGGAAAAAGTTACTCTACCAACAACTAACACACCACAAAATCTTATCTCCAGTTTCGGGGTAAGTGAACATATGAGACCTATTTTAGTAAACAGCTCAGGTAACTTACAAGAAGAAAACCTTACATTTTAAAATTTTTTCTTCAGCTTCTTTAAGGTGTGATGTAGACGTAGGGCACCAAGTGGGAAGCCAGCCAGTTAGCCATCCTGACCTAGAGCACCAAAAACAAAACACAAGCAGGTGAGTTAATGCTTTTCTCAACTCCCTACTGTTATTTATGGAGAAGAAAAGCAGAATAGGGAACTTACTGCCTGTGTGATGGTGACAAAATGCACTTTTATAGGTGCAAAGCATTGTGCTAAGTACTGTGACTCAGATATCTGATATCCACAAAGTACATGTCAAAGTGCATCTTAACTTCAGGGATGTTCGTTGTTGTTAGTCCTATGGAGTCACTCCAACTCATGGCAACCCCATGTGTGCTCCACAGGAATAGTCAGATTCCAAATAATTACATAGTGGACAAAAATGGGCAGAACAAGGGGGAAAAAAAAAAAAAGGCATTTTCCCCACCCCCACCCTACAAGAGGACAACCTCTTACCAGGGTAGAAGTGCAAAAAGATACCTGCAAGGGCAGGGGGTAGTGAGAGAAGGAAAAAAAAAAAACTTTAGGAAAAAAAAGACTTCAAATCTCATGGAAAACAGCAGTAACATACCCCTATACAAATACAGGGGGCTGGCATGAGTATTTCCTGCCTAGGTCATACTGGTCAACTGTTAATGGAAAAACAAAAAAGCTTCGGATTCCAACAAACAGTAGATGAAAAGAATGACCCGGGCATCTGTCATTAGCTGAACAGACAGAACAAGGAAGCAGGCCTGAGGCAATGCGGATGTGGGGGCAGAAGCCGTGGGAGGCTACAGCTGGCAGACTTGGCCAGTAGCCATCGAGGAGAGGCAGCTTAATATCCAGGGAGCAGTAGACCACAGGGGCACTGCAACAACCTGAGACAATGGATAGCTTCAACATGCCGTCTGACCATTAGCAAGGGCTCAACACATGCTGGTTACTATTTAAAAACAAGAACTTTTCGCTCCATAGACACTTCAAACTCCCTGAGGGACTGAATTGCTGGGCAGAGGGCTGTGGGGACCATGGTCTCGCGGAACATCTAGCTCAATTGGCATAACACAGTTTATAAAGGCAATGTTCTACATTCTACCTTGGTGAGTAGTGTCTGGGGTCTTCCAAGCCTGTGAGCAGCCATCTAAGATACTCCACTGGTCTCACTCCTTCAGGAGCAAGAGAGAATGAAGAGAACAAGATACAAGGAAAAGATCAGTCCAAAGGACTAATGGACCACTGCTACCAAGGCCTCCACCAGACTGAGTCCAGTACAGCTAGATGGTGCCCAGCTACCACCATTGACTGCTCTGACCAGGATCACAATAGAGGGTCCTGGACAAAGCTGGAAAAGGATGTAGAACAGAATTCTAACTCATAAAAAAAGACCAGATTTACTGGCCTGACAGACTGGAGAAACCCCCAGAGTATGGCCCCTGGACACCCTTTTTGCTCAGTGGTGAAACCCCTCCTGATGTTCACCGTTCAGCCGGGGATTGGACAGCCTCATAAAACAAAACAGGACTAATGAGGCACAGCAGTCCAGAGACAAGGACAGGGGACAGGAAAGCTGGTGATAGGGAACCCAAGGTTGAAAAGGGACAGCGTTGACATGTCATGGGGTTGTTAACCATTGTCATAGGGCAATATGTGTGCTGTTTAATGAGAAACTATTTGTTCTGCAAACCTTCATCTAAGTTACAAAAAAAAAAGAATTATCTAGGTGAGATCAAATTGACAACAGCAACTCAAAAGGTTTGATGGGAAGCCTAGGGGACAGTGAGTTGAAGATAATGGTGACAGAATAATTTGGAAAAGGATAGTGAGAATAGCAGCAGAACTGGAAGAATGTAATCGATGTCACTGAATTGTACATGCAGAAACTTTCAAAATGGTGTAACTTTGGCTATGCATATTTTCACCAAAAAAAAAAAAAAAGTCCTCAGGGTTGAGAAGGGAGAGTGTCAACATGTCGTGGGGTTGTTAATCAATGTCATAAAACAATATGTGTACTGACTGTTTAATGAGAAACTATTTGTTCTGTATTCATCTAAAGTCCAATAAAAAAATTCAAAAAAAAAAAAAAAAGAGAACTTTCTGGTGAAAGAGAATTAATTAGAAGAGGAAGTGAGGTCAACTACTGCAGATTCCAAATGAGAGGTAAGAGCTTGAACCAAGGCTTTGTCAATAGGGATGGAGGCGAGAAAATGAGGCCAAAGAATATTTAAGAAGTAAAAAGCTGGATTGGATAATTAGTTGAATGTAAAGATGGCATTAATAGAGAAGAACTTCCCAGGTTTCTGCCTTAGGTGCCACTAATGATAGAGAACACAGGAAAATAAGAAAAGGCGATAGTAATGTGCTCAGTTTTGGAAGGATCAATCCAGCATCCAGCTTTTTCTAGCTTTGTATTCCCAACCCAAGTTATCCTCATTTTATAGATGCAAAAACTGAGGTTCAGAAATGTTAAGCACCAGGACCAAGGTACACAGCTAGTAAGGAAATGACGCAAGTGGAGATCTGAATTCAATTGTGAATGACTCCAAAGTCCTTTTTTCTCAGGTAACTGTCTTCCTTAAAACACTTCAAGAGGTTCTCATTACCTACCTATGGAATAAAATCCACATTCCTTAGACCTTTTCAGAAAGTGATCTACAATCCATTCACAGTCTACTCCCTCCTCATCTGGTCTCTTGCACTTGTACTTTTTTAGTACCTCATAGGTACCAAAACTTCATACTATTTTATGCTTCTATGACTTTGTACAGTTCTTCCCTCTGCCCAGAATGTCCTTGCTTCTGATAGATGGTTGTTGACCCTGATGCCAAGGGCAGAGGTGATTAAAGCACTCCTCTGGCCCATCTTACAGATACGGTTACTACTGCAGTGGTTATTTGTTCATATATTTGTTTACATTTTTATCTGCTCTACTGCATTGTTTGACCCACGTTAGTATCATCCTTATATCCCATTGCCAAACATACTAACTGGCTGGTGGCCATGAGAGTGCTTGGTAACTCTTTGTAGATGTAAACTGAAGGCTTTGGTTCAGTTTAGAAGTGGAAGGCAGATGGGGTTCTACAGGCAAAATGCACTCACAGCACCACAGGTTCTTTAATAGGAGATAGGGCAGGGCAAGGACCTGACTGTCCTCTCCTCCAATCAAAAACAAAAACAAAACTAACAAATGTTGATGCAAAGAGGAGAAGCAGGAAAATAGTAATCAGCTGAACAAACAATATAGTCAGGCAATCAGAAGCACGGTAACCGAAGGTGCACACCTTTTTTCCCCTCATATAAATAAATTATTCCTTTTTATCTACTAGTATAACTTTCTTCTTGTCTCTTTGTCTTTAGACATAAGAACTTCCTAGTAAGTTCAATAGCACCACATACACACACATACACACAGAGTACATACCTACATAAACAGGATTAAGGAACAGGACAAGAAGTGGATGTATTTGGTCAGGCTTTCATGGCATATTGTTATATTTTGGAGATATTATTTGAAGAAAAGAATGTCTGAAGACACATTATAATTTGGATTATGATGAGGCTCTACTCTACTTCAATGCTCTCTGCTGCCAGTTTCAAACCTTCTGCATTAACATGGTAAGATGATAAGACTTCTCAGCATCCCACAAATGCTGTATATAATTTATTATCAAGATATAAACTTGATAGAAAACATTATTAATATTAGTCTGTAAGCCTGTAAACTTATTTACAAATTATCAAGGAAAAATGATTCAAGGCTTCAGCAATGAATTTTTCAATTCAACAATTTTTCAATTGTTGAAAAAAGCAGTTCATTAACAGGAAATTAAAATAAAAGAATCTCATGAACTTTAGAGTGTTTTTTTTAAAAAAGTAAACTATTATTCAGCCGAAGCTTTTTTGTATGGGCATCGAGGTCCACGTTAGACCTCAAAAACACAAACTAGTACCAACAGGAAGTTACTTACAGCTCAGTCTCATCAATTTTCTTAAATACCTCAAATCACAGCAGAGTTCTTTGCCAGAGACAATAAGAGGTCAGTACCAAAAAAAAAAATTAAAGTGAAATGAACTATAATCTACTATCAGTCCAAATGACATCATAGACAAATTGGGGCAAAGAAAACACAAATGTAATCTTTGTTTCAGTCTTTAAAAAAAAAAACAAAAACAAAAATCTATTACATTCAAAAACTAATCCAGACTCTGAATACTTACTATTTACAAGGGACTAGTGTTACATACCAGCCTTAATTTAGGAATTATGCCTACCCCTACCAATTTACCACTCATTATGAAACAAACTTTCGAGAGATGGGACTGTCTTATCTCTGCATTTTGTCTCCTTGTGACCCACTGAACTCACAGAAACCCACTGCTGTTGAGTTTATCCCAACTCACAGTAACCCTATGGGACAGACCAGAACTGTCCCATAGGGTTTCCAAGGCTGTAAATCTTTACGGAAGCTGACAGCCACACCCTTTTTCCGTGGAGCGGCTAGCTGGTGGGTTCAAACCGCTTAGCAGCCAAGCACTTAACCACTGTGCTCCAGGGCTCCTTAAAAGCACACCAGAGCCATCAATTTAGGAGGATGTTAAGAAAGGCCAAATAAATTGTGCTGAACATATTAACAGAGTTTATCTAAGAATCTAATTTTAAGTATCCAGAGTTTAAGACATTGACTTTTTTTCCCTTAAATTTCTACCTAATCATTTAAAAAATGTATCATTAACATTGTACACACCATGAACATTTAAGATCCCTAGTGATCCCTGTTTTGTTCTCTAAGGCATTTGATGATCTATAGTATTACTAAACCTGAATTGCACAATCTATAAATATTGGGAAACAGTGAAAGAGGTTTCATAGTATTCCAAAGAAAATGTACAGCAGTCTGGCCAATTTCCACACACTCTTGGCCATGTAAATAACATTTCTAATTAGGTTATAAGTAAAGAGTATTTCATTATAATTTTGTTTTAAATGGCCTCCATCCCTATACTGGTTGTATCAAATGAAAAAAAAAATTATTTAAGTTTATTATTACTGTCTTACAAACTACTCTAAGGACAGTATTCTATCTCA